ACTACCAAATGTCATAAGCTTACTTACCAAAATATCACTAATTAATTAGTAATGAGAAATGGTTTAGTCTCGAAACAGTATTGTTGTTGTGGTGATGGAATAAATTGGCCTTGTTGTTAGTTAAACCGGTTTAGCAGACGCAATGAATCACCAATGGATGATTGTGTAATAAAACGCGAGGAGGGTGGAAGACATATAATAGAATAGAAATCGACAAAGTCACGAGCCATGTCTAAGGAGTTGTGTCTTTGTGTACGTTTTAAGCAACGGATGAATAGCTGTTGGGGCGTGAAGTTGACAACATAATTACGCACTTAAAAAAAAATTAGACTGATTAAAACTACCCAAACTGATTTGTATAATATGATATTCTAATTGTATTGGAGCATATGGTACTTGATTGAAACATCTTTACTTTTTTTTCCGTGAATGTTTAGTCTTGTTTCAAGATTTAAAGACCTTTAATAGCAAAGAGTAATTCACGAATCCGCAAATATATAATTAATGATATTGCAATGTACGAAATTATTTTGAATTTGAGCTTAATATATTTGTGCAATGCTTTCCTTCAAAATATAAATGATCAGAAAAGCTTATAATTTCCTGTAAACGATCATCCAAAAACTTTCTCTACAATGGACTTGTCACTGGGGAACTTAATTAGCACACAATATATATTAATGGACTCTTGACAGACGAGTTAGCCGTCTTTTGTAGATTGTTTTTCTTTAGTATACACTCGAATATTCGTTGAAATATGTAAGATAGTAAACAACTATATATTTTTATTAAAATAACAAAATAATTAGGTAAAGCTAGTGGAATGAATATTAGACTCCGAATTTTATTCATTTGGTACTTGATCATTCTTTTAAAGATAAATTTTTCTCCACCAAATTCTAAAGATAAGTTATACTATATCATACTAGTTCGCAGAAAAAAAGAAAGAAAGATACGAGCATATATTAGAAATGTAAATTAACATTAAGTCAGAGATTGGCTTGTTCAACATTCGTATATATTAGTTCTAAAAAGGTACAAATAATACACTATACTTTCAAGACCAACAACTTGTGTACATAATTATTATAGTCAACAGCTCATCACGATTATAGTACTAAGTATATTTAAGTGATTAGTTTGTTAATTGCCGTGTTTATCATAATTTACAATTATGTTTGTTGTTGGTTATGATTGATACTAATAGTCAGAGACTTTTAAAGGAAAGCTTGTTTTGTATATCGTCAACAGAGGTTAATGAGCGAGAAAGAAATATTGCATCATCCTGAGCTTTTTCGACCAAGTCTTGTAATGTTCTGTGGACCAACCTGATGAAATGAAACTCATTCCAATTTTGGAGGAGCATAGTGTTTTAGGAATACTTAGGCCTTCACTGGCCTTCGAAAACTTTTGGTGTATCGTTTTCGGCTTACTCATTTCCATTTGTGGGCCTTGTGGCCCAATCAATAGAGACTCATTTCACTAAATCACCCTCAACTATATCTCCGGCGAACTTTCCTTGCCGTATAGGTTTTTGCTTGTCCGCTCTTTTTTTTTTTTGTACCTAACTGGTTTGATCAGTCAAATATGAGTGAGACTGTCTGAAAAGTTCTTGGTGATAATAAACAAGAAGATGACTCGAGGGACTCGTCAGGTTTATTGTTACATACGTTACATATTTTGGATGTGTCATGTGTGGACGTCTATCTACTTGTGTTCTTCTTGGATTTATTGGTGAAACTGTATGAAATTTGGTTCATTCTGACGATTTTTTTTTCTTGCTATGTGGTTGCAAACAAAAGAAGAACATATTTCTTCGACTAAGTTTCTTTGTTTAGTACTGGTACAAAAAAATATAAGATATTTATTTGTTTCAACTTCGACCATTTTTGGAAGAAAAAAAAACGTGAAGTGTTTGGTGATGAAAGCAATAACTGCGTCGTTGTTTTTTTTTTCTTTTCTGTATTTCTTTCTCATTTGTATTGTTATCTACATAACCTCAGTAATATTTTGTTTGTTACATACTGGAGAGGACCACTCTCTTTTGGTGCTTTTCTTTAATTTGGATATCATTTCAGGAGGAATAAACGAAGTTGGAGTCAGTCCTTAAACATTAGCCAAAGTGTGAAAGAACTACCACCTTTTAAAAGAGAAGTGGCTCTTTTATAAATTTATAGTTATTTCACACCTTTAGCTTATTAGCTTGCTTTTGCTATCGTGTTCACCTTTTGTGGATCAGTCAGTGTACATTGGTGTGTGTGTGTGTCAGTACGTCGGAGCTCAAGTCATGTTGTTATCCTCGAGTGCCAAAAAAGGTCATTCGTTGTCATAGTAAACACCAATTTAACTAGGGTCTAAGAAAGACAAGCATTGGATGCTTAATGCTTTATTGTTTCATACTTTTCTGTTTATAATTAAACCTAGCTAGTAATATCATCTTTCAATTTTCTTGTATAGTATTCTTTGCTTTTAGTGTCACGATCATCCTACTCAGCAACTGTCTTCTTTCTATTATATCTGTTTTGTTGTGTGTGAGTGTCTTGTTAAATAAATAGAATGATTGTTCTAACTTTTGGGTAAACCAACTTTGACATTATAATACTATTTCCTTTTTTCTTGTGAGTTGTGACTATGAAACCAAATCTTCCTACAGATCTCATTATCTTCTCTTTTTCTTTACTCTATCTATTCACATTTATTTTCCACTTCTAGGACTTATAACTGCTTTATACGGTTGTTGGGTGTCTACCTGAAATCCATTTATGTATGTATACAGTCAACAAATCTCAAACTAAGTAGATATATGAGAAAAAAAACATGTACATCAGAAATCGTTACTAGATGGAGTTATTATACACATACGAGTACTAACTGATTAACAATCATATTAAAATACAGTAAAAAGATACAAAATACAAAAATCAAGAAAATGAAATCTTAGAGCTTGAGGGATAAGTCTAGCTTCTGTTGCTCTTCTTGATTAGTGCTTAACAATAGCCCCTCTCCTCGCCATTGTTCAAGGGTCGGTGACCCTACTAGAATCCTTCCTATGTTACTCGATGATCTAGCCATGTTATTAGACCGTGAAGTTACTGAAGGATCCATCATCATCATCTGATGCTGATGCTGATGATGAAAATTTTCTATTGAAGGAAGTTTACCTATTGCTGGTTGTTGATCAAGTGGTTGTCTTGACCAGTTCACATGACCATAGTGACCACCAAATCCGTTATAAGAACTTAACTTATGGCTCATCGAATGCGCTTGAATCCCCAAAGACCTGTTGTTGTATTGTCCATGGAAAGAGACTGGAGAGAAACCATAAGGATGTCCAAAAGCCGAGGCTGAAGCTGCCATACGTTGCCCTCTCTTCGCCAACGTCCTCTCTCTCTTGTGTGCGTTTTGGTGACCACCAAGTGCTTGTGAGCTATAGAAAGTTCTTTGACAGTAGTTGCATGAGAAAAGCTTTGGCTCGGTGGATGTAGTGGATCCGTTATAACTCTGGCTATCTATGCAGTCGATGAGATTGAGTTCTTGACTAGAATCATCTTTGAAACTCTGTTCTTGGCTGTGGTTTAGAGAATCTTGAAGTGGAAAAGCTGTAGATGAGGAGGCTATGCAAGAGGTCTCTGAAGGAAGTTGTTTGTCCCTCGAAGTGTCCATGAGAGCTGAAGAGGGAACAATATTTTTTGCAAGTGATGATTTCTTTTCTCTATATCTCTCTCTTTCTATTATTAATAGCTGTGAAAGAAGCTTTTATCTGTAAATGAGAGAAGGAGTAGGTGGTACTAGAAAGGAATAGACAAAGTAAACAATACCCTACACTCACAACATATTTTTAGTTTTTTTTTTTTTTTGTAATAATAAGTAGTGGACAAAAGTACTATGAGGATGAGAGCGATAGGTAGGTTTGGTTTGCTGTCAAACCATTCTCACAAAACACTTAGAAGCTAGCTTATTGGGACTCAACCATCTACGTACTATATATGTATACGTTATTAATATATAGGACCCTTTCCATTTTTGGCTGCTTCCTCCAATAACCTAATCCATAAATTTATGTAAGGTTAGAAAACCCCCTTTAGCCCTTGGCTATGATGATTAATAAGTTGGAAATGGTAAACTATTAAACCCTCGAGCCATAATAACTGAGTATGTGCATAATTTGCTACATGGGAGTATATAATTTATATAGAAGGAGTTTTAAAGGATTAGAAACGACAAATGAAAACGAAGCAGTTCACAAAACAGTTACGAAACTAGTACATCTGATGAAAAGACAGGAGAGGAAAATGACAATAAAAACTGAAAAGGATAGGTTAAAAGAGAAGAAGAAATGGACCATCTAAAATTATTTCAGGTCTGTTTATGTCTACTTTATGCAACTCCACGAGGTAAGTGGTCATTTCTGTCTCCTCTTGCTTCTCTTGTGGGCCTTTCCTTCAATCTTTCGTTGTACTCTATTATGACCAGACCGTAGATCATACTAATTACAAGAGTTTAATTATAACCGTTAAAACTCGGTTTAATCAAGCTAGTGTGTGGCATGGATAGTCTGGTCTCATTCCTTTTTTCACATGTTCTATATTGGGTGTAGTGAAAATCATCTAGGGAAATTTAATTACACCCTTTAAAATAAAAGAAAAATCTACACCATAGATCAACTTGTAAACCATTTAAACTTAAATATTTTAGCACCGCACTTACCTATGCAGTGATATCATATGATCTAAAGAATAGTTTGTCTTTATGAGAGTGATCAACCTTTTCTTTTTGTATGTAATGCTAAAGTAAAAGAGACTTTGAAACTTCCACGCTCTTCTTATTCTTTATCATCTAAAGAGTTTAGTAGATTAGTCAATATAAACTTTGGTTTCCCACTTAATTTCATCATGAAATACAACTAGGGTTGCATGATAAAAGTAGCTTTACTCCACCAATAGGAACATCTCTTTTGGAAGCTATGTCAGCAAGATCAAACCCACTTGAGCACTGAGTAAAGTTTTTATTTCTTTATTAACATCTTTGGTTGGATGTATGATATGGTTCCTAACAATCTTAAGATGCTACTTATAACATTTCTAAAGCTTAGCTTAAAACTTATTTAGCAAAGGAAACAGTTTAAGATAATCTGATTTAGCTGTAGTGAATAGAAAGATCTAATGGTTAGATTGTGTAGTTGTCGTATGCAAATTGTGATCTAGTTGGTAGGTCCAACGTTACAAATGGCCGACACATAAATGAGAAAAACTGATTCAGAGTTTTTAATCGCTAGTAGCTAATTTGTTTTCATATTCATTACTTTTGACTATAGTTATCTAATTATACTGTATGCTTTTTTAAGAATGTTATCTCGGCTATTCGGTCAATTCTCGAAAGTGTTACAAATAAATTATCTTTGAAGAGCAACTACAGACTACAGTGTTCAATCTATACTATTAAAACACAAGGCCTTTTTTTGAGGTGCCCTTGGTTTTCAATATTAATTACAACCAAATGCCACTACATTATGTTTTAATCTATGTTTTATATTAAAGTGATTTTTTAAATTAAAAATAAAAATAAAAATGTTTCCCACTTATTGTGCTAACAAATGTAATCTCTTATTTATCTTTATAATA